CCACTGTGTTTTCCCGGGGTTTGGAAAAAAAAAAAAAAAAAAAAAAAAAAAAAAAAAAGGAAGTGCACCAGCATACCACTTTCGCACAGTTGGTATTGTAAGCAGTGTGTGGCCATTCTCCTCCACAAGAAATACTGAAGAATATTTCTCAGCTCATGTATGCTGCAGGTAAAGCAAACATCTGTGTTTTTTTCTGAAACAGTACACCATATTTTGCTGCTGAGTGTACAACAGAGTAATAGTCGAAACTATCCCGACTCCCTCAATTTTTTCTAGCTGCATGGGACCATGTCCCTGGGGTGACAAACACACACTGCTAGAGACAAGGATCATCCCCACTATTTTTAAGGGGCCTGTACGTGTGGAAGCCTGATGAAGAGATGAAGAGAGGACAGGTTTCTTTGCAGTAGGGCTTTATGAAAACTAGCTCTAATCAAAAAATAAAAAAAAAAGTCTTACACATAAATAACTGCTTAGCTGAATGAAGCAGAAGATAGAAAGTGTGATGCCTTAACAGCCACAGATGTTTATGACCAGAAAAACAACTAAGCACTGCAGCCAACTGTCACTCATCAGACTGAAACCTGGAACAAAATGTTAAGACACTGTGAACCATAATATCCTAAAACCAGCTTCTGTGAACAGTCCACTGACTCAAACACTGGAAGTGTTAAAAAAAATATCCACAACGGGCCTCCTAAAGCTCATAACAACTTTGCCTTGTTTTGTTGGGTTTTTTGGGAGGTTTGGGTTGTTGGGCTGTTGGTTTGGGGGGGGGGGGGGGCTGGTGGTTTTTTTTTTACTAAGCTGCGAAATGAATTTTAAGACATCCTGTTGTCTCAAAAGATTAAGTCAGAAAAAAGACTGGAACAGAAAGAGGGGTGATAGTTAACCAAGCTTAGAACTGGTTTCATATCAACTATGTTAATGATACAACAATGATTTTTTGCCCCTTACTCTCCCTCCTATTTCAGAATGGATATTACAGTAAATAATGACATGATAAAATAATAGTGTCCCTGTGCCATTACTCTTTCTTGAGTGATCCAATGCAAAAAAACAAAACAAAACAAAACAAAAAATCCCTCCTGTCTCCCTATCAATTTATTTGACTACAGCAAAAGTCATGCTGGGCAAGATAAAAAAGAAACAAACAAACCAAACCAAAACCAACAAAAAAATCAATATATAAACACATGTGTAATCCCTTAAGATAAATGCCTAAATGTGGGGACACATTAGGAAGATAAACCCTGGCTTTAAGAGTTTGACAACCCAAACAGAATCTTCTAATACGGCAATATCCACTCCTGACAGGCGCTTAAAAAAAAAGGTAGTAATGACTCAGAAATGTATGCACATGTCTACCAACATTACCTGTTAGTAGCTATAACTCAGCTTGTTTGTCAGAGTTGCTAAGGATGGCATCCATTTCACTTTTTTTGATAGGTAACACTAAGCACCTACCCTAAGCTAGCTGTGTCACCCCTGCAGTCAGTTGAGAGCCATGAGCACATCTGGAAGGCGATTTAGTCCATCCTAGCAGAATGCCTAAGACAGCTAGGATCAATTTTCTTACAAAATACCTTTTTCTCTCTCCAGCGATTACAAGCCTACGCTTTACTATGGCATCAGGCACTGCAGAGGTGAGAGCTTTGGAACAGCCCTCCAGTCTGACCTGGATTACTGATACTGCAAACCACAGGCTATTAAAGGCTGGAGCAATTTTAATTATTCATACTTGGTAATGGAATGAATACACAATCTTACAGGAAAACTACATCTAAATATGAGTCTGCTGATTCAAGGGAGATCATGTGTGCACTTAAACACATGCCTGTGTGTCCTGGCGGCTTAGCCTAAGATGCTGAAAATTAGGCAAGGTATAGAATTCATCCTAAAAACACACGACTGTGCCACACAGTACGATAACTTCACCTTAATCTCCACAGTTACATTAGATCAACAGTACAGCTAAGCAAAAAACCTCCACACCTTGGCAACTCTGACTCCCACGCAAGCACTACGCAGCCAGCCCGCTCGCTTTTTTAGCTGCCTTTCTGCAGCACACTCCAGTGCCTGGAGCTCTTACGTGTCTCCTCTCCAGCTCACGTGGACACTGCCTCAATCCTCAGCTAACTTCTCTCTTTTACAACTCATCAAAATCTATACATCTCTGTACCAGTGTTTTGGCTTTTGAAAAAATTTCAATTCACTGAAGGTTAATGCTAATCTTTTTATTTCCTTCCATTCATCTAAGCACGCAATGAAGAATCTGTGTTACCACAACTCTCCTAAATTTTACCACCACAGAAGTGGATGAATGCATTTCTTTTGGGACTTATATTTGCTGGCAGTAAGGATGTGTACTGAAGTATCTTCTGCGACTGAAAACAGAGGCGGCTACAGCTGAAGTGTTAATCACAAAGTAGGCATCTGCCTGAGGAAAAGAGATTTGCCTAAAAGCCTGACAGAGCTGGCATGGGCTGTGGGGAGCAGTAGTCTATCAAGTTTTACAGAAATAAGGAAAGGTTCTGGCAACAGTGAGATGACAGAAAGTAAGATAAGAGAAATGTAATTGATGTTCACAGTGTTATCTAAAGAGAGGCTCCTTTATCTAAGAAAAGGCACTAAAGAAGGTTTACTTTCAAAAAGAATATTAACACTTATGGAACTCATCTGACAGGAGTCTGGCAAGTGATACTAAAAATCACCTCCATGATGCACAGCAGGGATTTTTCTTTCTTTTTTTTCCCTACCGTCTTGTCCTGTATATATTTTGTCCAAGTACCACCATAACTGAACACTGTTTCATGCAAAGCACACTGAGAGACATCTTGCTGTTTTTACAGAGATCAGAAAACACATATTCTCCCTCTAGGAAAGTGCATCAATTGGGATTAGGAGATAGTGAAAGAGGATGCAGCATCACACCGGTAAAGCAAAGCATGTCAATCTGCACTGCTGTAGTATTTCACTAAACTGAAAGATTAAACAGTGAAGAGAATAATGCAGTATCTTGCTCATACATCCCAACAGGAAGGCTTAATCCTGTGCCAACAGTATAGTAATTAATAGTAAACTTCGCAGTAGTCTAAAAAAAAAAAAAAAATCACAGCAATCTACACGCATCCACTCACACAATTTCATCTGCAATTTTTCAACATTAATGGACACAAAAAGTTCTGGCAGTTGGGTATCAATATCAAAAAGCCATAATTTTCAACAGTCATTACTTCAATTATTGTTATACATATCAACTTCAGTCAAAAAACAACCAGCCCATGTAAGAAGCTTCTCTTAACTGTAAGATATTTAGTTTGCTTACTTTACCACAATATTTCCTAAAGTCTTCGCCTTCACTGGTTCCTTATTTTCATCCAGAACCATCACTGCAAAAAAGTAAAATAGATAGAGAACTGCTGTTAAGTAGTGTATTTTTAGGTGAAGGACAGTGTCTGTCTTCATCAATATCAACTTATGTCACACTTCAGAATGGAAATACACCAAGCAACAAAAGGAATTAAGTAATCTGGGAGTTCCAGACTGGATAATCTCATGACCTTATTAACATTCAGCCTTAAGTACAAAAAGTCTTAAATAACACTCGCGCTTTGGGAGCAGAAATAGCTCAAAGTCAAAAAGGGAAAAATATAGAACTGAAAATTGAAAGACACCTTCACACTGAAGAATCTAAACTTCCCAATAGCAAAGGACCCTTCAGATACATGACAAGTACAAGAAGTCTGCAGGTGACAGGAGTAAGAACTAACAACTAAGATTACTGGAGGCTAAGCCAGTTAATGTGAGAAACGTTCTTAGCAGTAAATAAGTGTGTCTTGGTTTTCAAAGGCTCTCGGGAGCCCCAGAAAGATGCTCCCCAGCTGACAAGGCTTATTATAGTCTAGCACAAAGAGGTAAAGCCACTGATGAACCCAAAACCGCGCAGCAGAGTAACGCTGGAGTACAGCGACAAATCCAGACCTTGCAACGGAAGCTTCTTCCCTGGATGACACTGGCTTATCACCTTCAGTGAAAGCATCATATCCTGGTAGTGAGGCTTCTGAGGAAAAACCCCTGAAATAGCCTCTTCTGTGCAGTCATCTGGGAAATCTACTACAACCACCTATGCCATCTGAAGGTCTGGATATAAGCAAGGAATGACAGATACCAACTTGGCCTGTAATAAACTGAATTAAACAAAGTGATATGACTAAACCAGGGAAAAAAGAGGGAGGTAAGGTTTTGACAAACTGGGCTGACATGGATTTAAAAACATGCTTTTTGAAGCCTGCCCAAGCAAAGGAAGCAATGTTGATCTGGATCTAAATTAATACCAATAATCTTACATTCTGTATTAAAAAGTTCCAGAGGAAATGGGGAAATGAGGATGACAGGCTTCTGACTAAAATCCTGCTAAGACTCTTATATCATACCCTATCTGTCCTGAGAATGCCAACATCTGTAATTTACTATTTCTGGCTGAAGCCGCTCCTTCAAAGAGGATGGTAATTTTTAAGTAGCTGAAGAGCCTCCTGAAAGCAATGGCTCGGCACATAGACACAAGTAAGCCCACAAGGCCAGTTTTACAAATCCGTGACTTGGAAAGAGTAACTGGGTATCCTGGTTTCAGCCAGGGTAGAGTTAATTTTCTTCACAGAAGCTAGCATGAGGCTGTGTTTTGGATTTGGGACGAGAAACTGTTGATAACATGCTGATGTTCTGAGTTGTTGCTGAGCAGCCAAGGACAGTCCAGCTTCACGTGCTGGGCTGCCAGCGAGCAGGCTGGGGGTGCACGGGGAGCTGGGAGGGGACACAGCCGGGACAGCTGACCCAGGCTGGCCAAAGGGATATTCCCTACCATATGACGTCATGCCCAGTACATAAACTGGAGTTGGCCGTGGGGCGGAAATCGCTGCTTGGGGACGGGCTGTCGATCACGGGGTGGTGAGCAATTGCTGTATTGGGCATCACTTGTTCTTGTACATTCCTTTGTTGGTATTATTATCGTTGTTATCACTGCTGTTTCCTTCTCTCTTTCTGTCCTATTAAAGTGTTTTTATCTCAGCCCACGATTTTGCCAGTTCTCTCCCTCGTCCCACTGCGGGAGGGGGGAATGAGCGAGCGGCTGCGTGGGGCTTAGTTGCCAGCTGGGGCTAAACCACGACACTGGTATAGGAAATCAAACGGATGAATGGAAACATAGAAGATACTTATGAAAAACAGCAAGAATGGCATAAATAAAACCCACTTATCTGTCAACACATTTTTTCTTACATATGTTTAAATGGTGTAAGAACATAGTATCATTAGAGATACTATCATTTGGAGAATTTAGGCTCAGAACACACAATGAAAAAGACCCACTCGCATCACATGTAGCTTTCAATGCTTTCTCTCCTATTTTTTCCTATTGTTATTATACTAAAGCAAAATCTAATCAGTTTGTTGTAACTAATTTATCAAGGTAGCAATTCCAGCACTTATTCTCCTCCTTGTAAACACTGTATTTCAATGTACAAAAATTTGGGGAAGGGAGATATTGTACTGGTCGCTCATGAATTACTGAAGAACTGAGTTAATTCTTCAAAATGTGGGACTTGCTTCAGTTTGAAAACAATGCAATGAAATTAGCTGGAAAGGGTTCAATTAGATCAAAGGGAAAGCAGAATACAATGTCTGATCTAAGGCCACAGAGCTAGAATTTAATCTTGATTCACTTTGAAGTTAAATTTGTGGCAGTGCACTTTGATATCACAGCTAAATACTGCTTTTATTCTTCTTATTCTAAAAAAATAAGCAAAGAAATCAGTTTATTTTAGCAATACTGTGACAGGAAAGAATTTGGCTGTGTTTAAAAAAGTAGATTTTTTTAACTTTCTATTTATATCACAGCATAAATACAACATAACTTTAGCAATGTCCAAAACCATTAACAGTTGCATATCTAAACTAAAAATACAAAATCTGTCTTCTAAATGGCAGAAGGAACTCTTCTAATTAATATAGTAACAGCAGCAAAACAACATCAAAACAGAAGCAGGTGACAGCAAGACAGCTGCCAGTACAGAGCAATTTCAAGATCCATTATTTTATGAATTGCTGCATTACAGGACATTAACTGGCCTCAAACCAAAGACTGAAAGAGGTAAAATTCTTTCATAAATCTTTAGTGAATTTTAGTACTCATTTTATGTTTCCCTTTCAAAGCATGCTAAAGATATTTCCTTCATCCTATTCGAAGAAATTCTTTACTTACACTAGGCCAAATTCATAGGAAATTTTTATATTCTTGCTACTCGTACTATCATCTGATAGCACGTGTGATGCAATTACATTCTTCCACTCTTCCCTATTTACTACAACTCCAGACAAAATTCACAGCTTTGTTTTAATGTTGTTTGTCTTCATGCCATAACCATAAATGCCAAAACCCAGAGCTGTTGAAAATGTTTATTTTCTTTAATGTTCACTTCCACTTGTACGTATTAGAAGAAAAAACAGCTTAGCTCTTTCTGCCCAATGATGTGTGAACTTTTCCTGAAGATGGTTTGATGTTTAATGTAATTAATTTTTGGACTTCAAGTAATTTTTGAAAACTGTGTTAAATTCAGGGTTGCCAGGTATGAAAATATTTTTGCATTCTTAATCCTGCGGCTGCACCCACTGCATGAAAATACATTCTAGACAATGAGTGCTCATCCTTTTAACATTGATCCATAGCCTGCCATTTCTCCCAGCTGGAAATAAAAATGCTTCACAAGTACTGAAAATAATGTGCTTAACATCTCTCTCAAATATCAGCCCATATACCAGTACAGAAAGGCAGAAAGCAGACTTTGATTTTCTTTTAAAAAAGCATGGGATGAGTTCCAATAGAAGATTTATATCCCTTGCCAAGCTCCTTGTTAGCTCGCTATGACATACTTGCGGAAGACACAGACCTCAGTAAGAATTTTCTTTATGCATTTCAGAATACTTCTCATATAAATATGTAGGGACAAAAAAAAAAAAAAAAATCATTCTAATTAATGTGCCTCTGATACATAATTATTTGATGCACATCTCCCAAACCAAAACTATTTAGGCTCTGAGAATTGAAAACACAGGTATAACAGAACACTCAAAGTGCAAGTTACAGCAGTGATTTGTCTACTTACAATTTCCTCTTTTGCTGATGGTTACTACTAGCGTTTTTCTTCCTGATTTGCCAAAACAAATTTTACTGCTGCTCTCATTTAAAAAAGTGCAACCATAGATAAAGCCTTAAAGCGCAGTATTTTTTTCATATCTTTGTTATATCCAGTGTCGAAGAATGTGCTAGTCCTTTCATATAATAGAGACAGGAGTAGCTGATCAATTTTCTTGAACATAACCCTGAATTTCTTATTCACAATCACATTCCACAACACACAAAAAAGCAGAGCTTCCGCTTCCTGTACAGGAAGGAGGAAAATGTGTTAATAGACTGCGATTTGCTTTCCCAACGAGGTATGAAAATTAAAGAGCACTCACTCAGGAATATAAGCAATATCCTTTTCTAGTAGGATGTTTAGCACAGTCTTACCATTGTATCCTGGCACTGGTTTTCCTGCTTGTCCAGGTGGAGGTGTTGCAGAGTTCCCCAAACCAATACAGGAAGCAGTAATTGCAGAACCAGATTCTGTTAAGAAAACACAAATATTGTCAGTTAAGATTATTCTTAGCATCCTTAAGAATTTTTTGGTTTTAAGTTTTGCTTCTAGTTCAGCACATCAAAATAATAAAATAAGCAAAAATCCCAGACAAGCAACGGAAGATTTAGAATTCAGGAGCTTTTATGTACTATCAAATGAATAGAAGTTCATTACAGAAACTTACATTCTTCAAAAGGGAACTTTTTCCATTCCATAGAAGACAGAAATAAACACTTTCTGCATTACACCTGTAAATTATTCTGCTATGCGTATAATGTTATACCAAGCCAGTAAGAAACTGCCTACAGCAAAGCCATGATAAAAATACTGTGTAGGGCAGATGTACTTCAAGGGTTATTTATTTATATCAAGTAAATATCCTTGGGAAGAAAGAATTCCAGAAAAAAACATCAGTATGATCTTGGTTGATCATCTTATCCCTGTAAAGCAATAAAGTGTCTGTTAGTTCTATTTTGGAGCTATACAACTTTTAGAGGTTTTGAAGGAGAAAAAATGCCAAATCTTCTCCATGACAATATTGGTCAGGAAGATAAAAGAAGAGGTAATGCCTAATAAAATTTATTGTAAATCAGGATTACCTCTTATAATCCTGGAGATCTCGCTAGTATTTCTTGGTGAGAACTATTTCAGATAATGAAAAGGTTCAAAAAGAAACAGGGAGGAAAAGTCAAACCTAAATTTTCAGTGTTGCCAAAATAAACTCAAAAGAAACAATCTATGGAATGGAAATCAAACTGCTACAAGATTTTGTGATCATAATCCAGATGTTCCCTGCGCGGGGCACGGGGCCCATGGAAGGCAGGTCTGGAATACCCTCTGAAGCACCAATGTAAAATACCTTGTTCAGAGCTTCCAAATGAGACAGCATGAATATCCCCTGTAATGCCTACGCCTTCCTAATTATCCCCACAGTTAGGCAGATAGAAATCCTTCCCTCCTCCCCTTCCTCTTTTTCTTAAGAAAGCTCAATTTCACATAACATTTTTATACTACACGAGTTGTTACTATAGAAGAGGAATAAAAACTATCAAGTCATATAACAGAGTCTAATATTGAAAAAAAGACCAGTTGCTCTTCTCTCTTTCCCCCTGAGAAAAAAATCTATAGAAATTACTTTTAAATGGTGCTGTAACTCTGAGCCACAAAGTGTAGGTGGTTGTAAATATTAGCAGAAACACAGTACTGAGACCATTACTTTAAAAACAGGAGTTTGTCATTCTAGAGACGTCCCAAGTCTCAGGTCACTTGGTCTGGAATTCATTCCACGCCACCCTCAAGCATTAGCACAACAAAGCAGGTTTGTTCTTCAGCTCTATATTTACATCTGATCAGCATGGTCAAAACTTATTATCAGTTCTCTTGCATTAGGAAATTACAGTTGTGTTTTGCTGTGAATTTTCTCAGCTTCCATAGCATTCATCTGCCACTTCAGAAGTTGTTAAATGACTATTAAAGTGCTAAAAGAAGCAAGAATAAGAACAAAATTACAGAAACTTGTGGTGGTTTTACATTAAGTGTTAGTAAGCAGCTGAAAATTAGCATTAACATAGCATAGTTAAGCTAGGGTCTAATTCCACCTGTGGGACACAGAATGAGAATTATCAACCCTCAATGCTAATAAAGATAGGCTAAAACGTTTCCTTAGTTGTTTCTCCATCTTTCCCTGTTCCTTCTTCTACATAATGCACATTCCCCATACAATTGCGGATCCTGATCTTGTCTTCCAACAAGCAGAACACTCAAAACTACAACTACAGCCATGACACAATATCACAATGATATAACATACCCCATCTGTGATCACACTGAAAGTTGCGGGAAGAGAAACTCACAATTTATTCAACGGTTTGGGAGCTTCATTTTCTGCACAGTATCTATACTGAAGACTTTTTTCCTCTTTTCCTCAGAACAGAATGAAAACCGGTATTTTTCTTAGAGAACAGTGAATTGGAAAAGACAGTGGAAGAGACAGTTTCTTTTTTGACTGTGTTAGGAGGAAAAGAAGTGGTAGTACGGAGTATATCTTGCTTTACATATTGCATGGCAAGAGCTAAAAACCATACTGTAACAGATGAGGTGGGAAAGGTATTCTGCTGCTACTGAGAGGTAGGGAACACAGCATCACTGCTTATCCGATGTACCAGTAAGATTTACATGAACAGGGAATTGACAAACTTTTCTAATCAAGAGCTCTCAATCCAAAAATCCCTGAGGGGAAAGGGAGACTGAAATTTCTGAAAATTAGTTTGGATTTGCTTGACTCTCTGACACAGTGCTAATGAAAACAATATAAACTAGAAAGGAAACTTCATCATACTAATTTGTCTGTATTTGTCCCTGTTTTTTGGGCAATGATGAATAAGACTGAATGAAAGTCCACTTATTCTAAACAAGAATCATAAGTTCTAAAACTTTGTGAATAGGTGTTTATAATTGCTGCTATTTCTTCTATTGTCTTCTCAATTACCAGTGGACATATAATCGTTGTATTTACCCAATGCTCTAATCACTAAGCCGCACATTCAGTTCCCCTGGGTCAATAAGTTTTTTTATATACATGAAAAAAATACGGGGTTTTGGTGCTTGGACCAGATATTAATTTGGAGAGAGAATCCCAAAAACATCTGCTCTTCGTATTAGGTTAACAGCTCCTGAATGCTAAAGATTCCCTCACAATGTAGAAACACAAAGGAGTACTGTCAAAGGATAGCATGAATCTTTGAGCTGTACATTTCTTGGGAAATCAACGCATATCTTCCAAACAGGATGCTAGATTGAAATATCAATTTCCCAAACCTATCAGAAAACAGCAACCTCCTTCTAGGACAGCATTTTTTGATCACAGAAAAAACAGTCTGACTTGGAAGTGGAATTCAATTCAAAATCCTGCTCAAAAGAAATCATCACTGTTCAGAAGAACATGGAAAAATAAGTACTGATGAGAATTTTCCTTACCAATTATGTGTAAAACAAGTACTGCGTGGCCCTTTTATAAATTTCCAGTAAGTAAAGTTGCTTAAGAATCTTTGGTTTGAATTAAGGTTGGTTTCTCTAGAATTCAAGTCAGGGCCTATATGCAGGTTACAAGATCCGTGTCTGAAAGTTAAAACAGCAACAGTTTAAGGAAGGGTAACACATGTCAAATGGACATTGTATTCCACCTAGCCCTTACATCAGGTTTCTGACTGTACAAACAGACATCCATTACCTGACACTCGTTTATAGTTGCAGATTCTCTGGAAGTAATGCACAGAGTCTAGACAGATTCCCAACGCTGAAGTTTTTAAAAACTTGCATATTTTTCATGCAATGAACACAACAGTAGATCTGTCTTCTAGTCAGTCCCTTCTGCTAACATTTAGGTGCTAACCTTCAGATCACTACGCTAGCAAGTTAGCTCGCCTTCCGGCTGTGGAAGGCGTTTCAGGGACAATTGGATCATAGAACCAATTTCCCTTTTGCATAACACCTTATAATGTGATTAGAAGAGCAATGTTTTACACTGGAAGAGCAATGTTTCACAATTAGTCTGCTAACTACATTCAACATCTGCTCTGAGTTGTAACGGAATGAATACATATACCTCTGAGAATAATGAAAAGCACTGCACTGAGACTTGGAAGAGAGGTGAAGTGAGAGATCATCTTGAAATCATAGCTGTTAAAGTGTCCCAAGTCCCTCCTTACTTTTTTATTTTCAGGATAAGGGCCGATGTAAGGAAATAGCCCTTGAAATTCAAAGATGTGACCTTCTTTGTTTTGTCCCACTCTAAAATAACATCTTTCACTTACATGTAAAGATATTTCAATATTACTGAGCTATAATGGACAGTTAATTAATAGTCCAATACAGGGATTTTTGTTGCATTTGTGCCTCTGAAAGCAATTCTTATGTTACAGTAGGTGCTGCTGATGCAGAAGCAAGAGCGCACTCTCTTACAAGTACCAAGGGGAGCCTGTAAGGGTACTCCTGACTTTATTCATCAGAATGTTTCCACCTGCCCATGTGCCAGACTTGCAGCAGCTGTGCTCTACCAAATGATGCAGAGCAACAGCTACTAAGTTCTGTGCTCAAAACAGTCTTGCTCATTCAGAGTCAACGGTCAAGTTAGAATCATAGAATCATTTAGGCTGGAAAAGACCTTTAAGATCAAGTCCAACTGTTAACCTAGCACAGCCAAGTCCACCACTAAACCATGTCCCTAAGCACCACATCTATACGTCTTTTAAATACCTCCAGAGATGGTGACTCAACCACTTCCTTGGGCACGTTCAATCAAAATAAACAGTTTTGAAGTAACTCAAGATTTTAAAGATGAAAAATGCACTGTACCATTCCTGATACCTTATAATTTCTAGACCGTTTCTCGTGTTCCTTAACATAATAGGCTGTCACAATGATGAAATATTGTATTTTCTGGTAGGAAGTACTTAGGGAAAATACACTGCATTCTGACATTATTATTTGAGTTTGGGCTGCACTGAGTAATATAAGGCTGTCTGCTTGGAATTTCTAGGATGAAATGGACACATACTGGAAGCATGCAAAAGAGGTGGGAAGTTGTTATGTAGCAGGAGACAAAGAGAAGAAAAAGGAGACATTGTCACATTGATGAATGCAGTAAATATAATACACTAAATTCCCATTGCGGCAGTGTTGTTTTGAGCCATTCTCCTGGAAAAGTTGTCATTTTGCTTGAGAGGAATTAAATGAATTACTACAGCAGAAGACAGCACAGATAAAATGGAGAGGAGGGTCTACAGAGGGAGAAAGCTTAGGCAGTGCCTGATACCAAATCCATCCACACAGCAAGAATGCAGCTCTGAAGGGACTTCTTGTACATGCTCCCTCCACACAGTGGCCATTTTAATTATGCCAGAAAGGGTGGAATGAAGAATTCAATAAAGCAACAGCAATGTGCTTTCTAGTATGGCAACAACTATTACACATCCAGGAACAGAAAACC